ACTTGCATTAGCCGCAAAAGTGACCCTCTACTAATGTCATTTGCAGTCCATGCATTGGCTTTGAACTGCACTTGCACAGTACAACCCTACTGGCCACCTCTATGACACTTCTACCTCATTACCAAACACTCGGCTGTCACGCATGAACGATCTGGAGTAAAGATAGACCATTCACCTATAATAGTTACGTGTGTAGTAACAGATGTCAGCGCACAACTAAAACGGCTAAAAGTGTTCGGACCTGCTCTAGAAAGCGTCAAGGGACCTTCCATACGCTCATCTAGACAAGTGATTCCGGCATTACAGTGTTTCACTGCCAGTTATTGTGTGAAGGCTGTAGAAGATGTCACCTCGTAGAATAAGAAGGATCCACAGCTAAACCTAATGCCGCGTTAGAGATTTCAAATGTCTAAAGGCGTTCCTCGAACGTCTCCGCTGCACCCTTACTGAGGTCATGGCCAACGCAATCAGCATTCGCGATCCTTGTGAAGGGGCCAAGGACCACCAAGAACCTCCAACTGGCGAAATGGAAGCACTCGAGCAAACCCTATTCGCTCCCATCACAAGATTGAACACAGCGGAGTGTAATTTTGAACATCCACCTGAGGTCAGAGGCTTGCTGACCACACTGAGTCCTACGCCATGCAGACTTGATGCGCCGCCATCACCCCTCCAAACCGCTCCACTTCCTCAGCACCGCACACCACCTCCCATTTCTGCCCCAATGTTACCACTTCCTGCTGCCTACATTTTACGACGCTCACCTACTTCTCGTCCCTTTCCTGCCTACGCTTTAAGCAGACCTACTATTCCACATCCGTAATATTTCCTTTCTCGCCTATTGCATTGTTTACGAGTGCGAGTAGGAAGGTGTGTGTATGTGGTAGCCAACCCCTTCCCTTCCTTCGCTCCCTCATGAACAATGGATCCTTCTAAGCATTGGACTTCTTCAAGCTCCACAAATGCAGCCGCTTTGGATGCATTTGATGATGAGGCTTCGTTCTTCCCTCAAGCAGGTAAATCTG